TTGTATACGATATAAAATAAAATAACATTTGAAAATAATTTTCATTTTTAAAAGTGAATTTTAATAATCAAAATTACTATAGTCTTACTTAAACACATCCTACATATTTTAGGTCCATCAGTAGTGAAATGATTTGTTAACTTACCACCTTAAAAAGCACTTCCTTCCTGATAAGACCTTACATGGTACAAATATAATTCATGGAAATACATAAAATGAAAGAAGATACGGCATGTGTGCTGCAGGGATATTGTGAAAACTTCATTTAATGAGGATTTCTGGAAAAAGTCCACCTTATTTAAGTAACATATTTAATATTTTAATTAATTTTGATAGCTATAGTTCAAATCTATATTATATATTTCCTGATGCCCTAGGTAGAACACATTAAACTCTTACATTTATAGGTCATCATCATGAACACCGATTATATCAAAGCACAATACAATGTTCCCATTAGAAGTTACTGAAGGATATGTCCTTTCTTTATCTAGCACTAAGCAATTTCATACTGTAAAATCCTAAGGTTTTGTTTGTTCTTTTATAATTTTTCTGCCTCCTTCCAGCTCTCAGGCTGCAATTCTTATGCTGTAATGTGTTTGTTGCTAGCAGCCACAGAACTCATCTCTGGCAGAAATCTGCTATAAATTGGGGAATCAGATTAACAAATTTGATAAAGAAGACTCTGAACAAGTGACTGAGCCTAATAAGAATTTGGAGGTATGAAAGTTATTAGTTCAATCATCTCCTCATATCCCCAAACCACAGAAAGAAAAACTAAAGCCCAGAGAGGTTAAACTACTGACCAGCAGCAGAGCCAGATTAGAACCAAGGTGACCAGCTCACAAGTTAGGAGCTACCTTCACTCCATCATCTTCACACATGCACCTGATGGGGACAGGGCATCCGGTCCAGAGAAGTGAGTTTTGGCGTGTGGATAGTGTGACTGGCAATCTAGAAGCTTTTTCAGTTTTCTTTCTGCTATCTTTTTATATCCTACATAACTGAAATGGATTGCTAGACAAAAGAGTGTAAATCTTGGTGCACAGACATATTTAAATCCTCAAATTAAAGTTGTATTTTGTTATATTCTAACTGATGTCATCACCAGATACACAGAAAAAATCTTTTGCAGGCAGCAGCTACTCGGTCAGATGCCTTTGTTATACTCTAAGTCTTCTTCTCCAGCATAAGTAGAAGTTCCTCCAGGTCAAGATTTGTGTCATACCCCTCTCTTGTATCCCTTGTGGAACCCTGCAGAGTAAGTACTTGGCACATAGTATGTGCTCAATATTTACTCATGTGACTTTTGGCAGTACTATAAGGAAAGGTTTAGGGCTCTGCACAGATGGAATCTTCTGTTACTCACCATTTGGCCAAACATACTGCTTTGTGGATTTCTTCCCATTTTCCCCCAAAATTCTTGGACACCCACAGGCCATTCTGAAAGATTATAAATGACTTATCAAAATTCTAGCTTTATCCTGTGCAGCTGCTTGTTTGACCTTTAATAATTCATATTCAATCATTCAGGACTGTAAAAATACACTGAAGTTCTATTAGAGCTGCCTGGCTCCACAGACACACACATGGTTTATTTGGGCCCCTTCAGGATCTCTGAAGCTCAGAATAACAAATGCATATAAAGTGCCCACTATATGGCAGGCACTATACCAGACGTTACACTGGGGATAAAGACGAATAAGACACAACCCCTGCTCTCAAGGATCTCACAGTTTAACAAAGGCCACAGATAAGAAAGGTCAATACCATGTGGTATGTGTTATGGAAAGAGTCTAGTATAGACATAGGGAGAGGAGGTCTTTTGCATCCTGAAGAAGATAGCTGCACCGACCCTGAGATGATGAGCAATGCAACCAAAAGAAGGCATGCAGGAGATGAGTTGCTACAAAGAAAGTCCAGTACTAGCAAAGGCAGGGAGATGATAAAATACTATCATGTCTGCAAGGAGATAAAACCCATCAGATGTTACTGGAGCACAAGTTCTAAGGTGAATAAGTGTGGAGTTAATGCTTGGGAGAAGAGTTAAGGTGGAAAGCCTTCCTTCCAGGGCAGGCTGAGGAGTCTGGTTTTCACCATATAAAAGGCATACTCAGGAAAATGGTCCAAAAGGACCATTTTTTATTTTGGTGTACTTATATGAGAATACGAAAGTCTGAACTAGTCAGAGAGCCCTAACTAGGACAGGTAGTGAATAAGTGACATATTAATTCAGTAAGAGTTAATGAGGTCTTGGATTGTGGCTTTGAGGAATAGGATCAGCAAGAGTTTAGAAGGTACAATAAAAGTGGATGCCTTTTAGGTAGGGCAGGTTGGATGGGTTGTATGTGTGTGCACATGTATGTGTATCTCAATCTCTCTTGGTTTTGTACTGGGGTATAAGATACACAACAATGCATCCACTAGTGTAAGGTTCAGGGAAGAAGAGCATGTCTGAGAGAAGACCAGGAAAGAGGCTGAGTTTTGAATTGAGTTTGAGGTACCTATAGGGCACCCAGTTATAGAGATACTCACCAAGATAAGCAATTTGATGACTTATAGGAAGCCAGGGCTAGAGATAAGGATTTGAGAATCTTACATTGTAAGTGGTAAAAAGTAAGAGTGGAAGAGACTGATCAGAAAGAAATGAGTAGTCATTTAAAGCGCAAATTGAAAGAAGTTTAAGAGACCAGGAAGAATGGCCAGGAAGGCAGAATACATGAAGTGAATGATGTCACAGAGTCAAGCAACTGGAGTTCCCCAAAGGAGGGATTGGCCAATATTTTGAAATGCAGCAGACTTAATAACATGAAGACTGAACAATGTCAATTATATTGGCGACATGCACTTATCTGCACAATCTAGGCAGGATTACTCTGCAGTGCTCACCATTCTCACCCACCATTCTCCTTCAAATTCCTCTCCTCTGGTAATATCCCTTATTCCACCATTTCTAATTTACCTAATTCTATGTACAGGCACAAGAGAGGGTCTGATATCATTTATTTGCATTTTAATCTAAATTGGCCCATCTTCTCCACTCCAATTATTCATATTTCAAATTTACCCTTAATTGGAAGAAATTTTCAGGTAGAAGAGCAAATTATAGGATTGAATCTGTCCACTGTTGAAGATAGCCTTATTTTAACAACCTTAGGATACTTGGTAATGGAGATAAGGTGGTCAAAGGGCAGATATATGGTTTTGTCTATTTCTGTGGAGGTCTCTTGGCTCCCTTTGTAGAGCTTTCAGCTCAAACTTCTAAGAACTAATTTCTCTAAGATCTGAACACCACCTGTCAGCAGGCCCTCTCCACCTTGTCCTGCAAGCTAGTTTCCTTTTTCTGGTCTCCACTAGCTAGGCATAAACTGTGGTGTGCCCAGCCACTCCTCTGCTCAAACATCTTTCCACAGAAGGTGCAGCACCCAGACCTCTCTTCTCATGCCCTTCACCCTCCCTATGCCCCATTTGCTTGGCCTGACTGGTCCACAGTTGGTGGTTGTTTCTGTCCCCAGAACAGTCTGTACAACAATGGCTTTCAAATACCTGGGGAGCTTGTTAAAAATACAGCTGCTCTACACAGAAGTTAATGTTTTATTATATCTATATTGGGACCTAGGGAATTGCATTTCAACTAGCTTCTCAGGTATTTCCATTTGACGCTGCTGCTCAGCAGACCACACTAAGAATCTTCATGAGAAAAGCCACATAAACATAAAGATAATTGTGACTATCACAGTCTAGCCATGTAGCCACTCTGGGCCTCTAACTCCATAAAAGGAGACAGGTCTTCCAGGAAAGGAAAAGCCAAATGTGCTCCTTGAGGAACTTTTAGAGAGGCAGGATGGTTTGGGAGGGACACCAATTTCTGGGGAAAGTACTGGAATGTGGTAAGAAGTGCTGGGATTTGAGATTTTGGATATCTAATACATGAGTATCAAAGACAGAAACCAATATGCTTTATATACTGAGGAATTCACAGAAAAGAAAAAATAAAGATGGTTTGTTCATAGGAAAGGAACAATATTGTCCCTTGTATGATTACTTTAAACTGTTTTCTACCTCATTACTCCAATAGCACACAACTATTCACTTAAAAAAATTATGACTATACCTCCTACTTACCTGGAATAGAGAGCATACAGAAATTGGAACCTTTACCAAATGGGAAAAAAATGAAAAAAAAATATACTTCATGTGTAAGAAGACTGGAGAGAAGGTCAATATAAAAGCATTCTCTACAGAATCTTTTTAAAACAATATATTTAAGACTTTAAGTAAGTAAAAGCCAAGTCAAATTCCTCAACTAGACTTACTTCAGTGCTGAGGGCTAAAAGGTAATCAGAATTCTGAGGGCTATACATCATTTGAGTCAGAGGATGAAAAGGGAGATCTGTCTGTACAAAATTCTTTGCAAAATCTGATGACCTGAAGATTCTTCCTCCATGACTTCCTCCAGATACCTCTGCCGTTAATATCACCTGATTAGGAAGAAGAAAGATCAGATTCAGCACAGAAAGTTCTTGCATCATTTTTATCAGATATTAGTCACAAGAATTTTAGTTCCAAATGTAAGAAGAGTTATACAGATTAGTTGCTTCACTCTACTCAAGTCTTGGTCTTAACAAAATATAACATCCTGAATTGAGCTAGTACATCATACTTGCAATTTTGAGCCTGGTCAGTTTCCCGAAGACTACAATGTTGTCATAGGGACTAAATATTGTAATTCTAAATAACTGTCCCATAAGTATGAAGGGTTTGGTACATCTTGGCCAGGGACCAAAAACAAAAATCTGTGTGTTGAATTCCATTCTTTTGTGATCAGTATTAAATAAACTATATTTAATTTTCAAATAAATTTCAAATTTACAAAGAAACTAAAATAAAATACTGTGCATCACTGGAGTAACATCCAGCAGCACGGCATGTGCCACTGAACACCAGCTTTCCATGTGTAAGAGTCTCACCTTTCCAGAATTTTCGGGACCAATAGCAATGCCAAATTCAGTACGAATGAAGGTGTTATTGATGAGATTTGTAATATCCTTAAAGTTTTTTCCATAGTCTTCACTGAAGGGAAGAAAAAAAAAGAGGCAAATTTAGAGTACATTAGTCATGTATGTTGTTGGATTCCCCATTCAGCTTCTAGTCCCCTTTTTCTTGATTTTATCCAGTGGAGAACTGATTAGTCTGAGGGAATCTCAATGCTCCCCTAGTGATTGCCTCAGGAAGGAGGAGCGACTAGGTTAAACCAGTGAGATAAAACTCAAGCCAGCTTGAGTTAGGAGCTCCACTAAATGAAGCCAAAGGCCTCCTAACTAACCGGTTCATCCATCATACTTATGATACAGCTATAAGCTAATAAAAAGTCTTGAAGTTTTTCCTGCTATAAGTTACCATCCCTACGCACAAGTTTTTAGTGCACATAGCACACAAAATACAACGAGGAAAAACAAACAACCTCAACTCTTGGTTTCTCACAGCTTTTCTCAAAAAGTTCATTCCAACAATATCTTTGAGAGGTATTTTAACCCTTGTTTAGATTTTGAGAAATAATAGTTAATATCAGCAGCCATTTACTCCGACAGGGTTACTACTACATGTTGCTTTTTTTAAAAAATATTTTTATTTAAAAAATTTTTATTAGTACATGTTTACAGAACATTCACTGTGGGGAGTTGGTACAAAAACATAATGCATCTTAATACTTTTTACTTCCCCTTTCTCTCCCTATCCTATCCCAAAGGATGACACAGAATGCTAAATCTTAGTATCTATTCAATTTAAGTATCCACCAGTGAAGACTGCTGTGCACTGCAGTAGTTGTCCAGTGATAAAGACAACCTGAAGTGTTCTTCACTGATAGAATTTATGGTTTAAAAGGATCATATAAATCTCAGCAGCAGCTTCAAGATAGAATCAAGAATGATAAAACATGAGAGATACAAGGAACTGAGGAGAGTATCTTGTCCAACTCCCTTAGGTCATAGGAGTTGCAAGGGCAGAAAACTTAGCAAAAGTCAAATAGTTAATTAAAGACAAAACTGAAACCACAGTCCAATTCTCTTAATTCTCACCCCTAAACTAGAGACTACTTTCAACTATTTGTGAGGAGTTTTTATCCCCTTATAACCTGGTTTTTCCTCTCTCTTGCTAGAGTTTGTGATCTGGCAATAGAGATTAGCTAAGAAGAAGCTGGAGATAAGAGGGACATGTTGGTGCCTGTCTGTATGCCAAAGTCCCTGATAGCATGACAAAGCAAATTACACATCTTTAAGCTGTCTGAATGCCTCCTCTCCTCCCTTCGCACAGGCATAGAGAAAATTCCTAGATAAATAAAATAGGCTTTGGGTGCCACCCAATAGATCCCTATATTCCTTATCTTTGGTTTTGGAGTACAAGATTAGTTCTTATCTTCCTGACAACCAGCAAAAGATGTGCATCAACAATTCCCACCTCTGTGGGGCACACACCAGACAGACTTCCAAGGAGTTGCAGCTTTTTGATTATCATTGGTTTACAAATCTCCCCTCCTTTATGACAACCCCAAGGAACTCAGCAAACCTGTTGGTAAGCCTGTACACTTTTTAAGAACTTGGCACAACAAACATATCCCTGCCCTTCAGAAAAAGCAACATGAGAAGAACAAAATATCAACTGCAGCAAACCTCTGGTACTTTAGCCAGTTAAACAAACGGAGAAAAAGGACTCACATCACCTGCTGGGAGGTAAGCAGGACTCTTTCAAGGCTGCTTTTGCTCTAGATATATAGAGCATTTTAACAAAGGGCTCTGTTTAAACATGACCTTATTTTTTTTTATCAGTATACACATGGATATAACATGCATTATGGAAGAGGAAATCAATAAAACATTTTGAAAATGAAATCTACTCTTCAAACTCCTTATGACAACTAATAGAATTATAAATAGCAGTCAAATGATAAGCTAACAAGTGAAATAATCTGTTTCAGAAATAAGTCTTTTTGTCTGAGGTCATGATGAGTGACTATGAGAGTGAAGACAATGGCCACTTTGCAGAAGTGACAATTCCTCCACTGGATCCCCAACAACATGCAGAAGTCTGATGCTCAAACTCCCCCCTAAAGTGCCTGGAATTTAATGAACCTAGAAATTATACTCTGCATTGTTCTTTGCAGCAGTGGGTAAGTGGTTTTCGGTGAGCTAAAATGGGCATGGTTGCACTGAATCACGCGGCTCTTGATATGTTAGCCATTTCCAGTGTCCTAACCTACTGTAATTGGGTGAGATTCTCATTGGCTGTGCCATTTCTGAATATCTTTTTGTATTTACATTTGTCTGCGTTAAAATGAAACAAAAATCAGTCCTACCATCTTGTTAGCATGATTTCTGTATTTATATAGATTTGATTGTTTTAATTTTTCTTGTCTCTTTTTTTGTAAATTTTATGTACAGATTTGAATTTTCATATTTTTAACTAGATTTTCAAGATATTTTGTGCATTTGTTTCCAGCTGGATTCAGGTGGTGTGTCATGATCTAGCACCCTGATTTTAATATAACCAGGGTTTCACTATATGTTCTTTTCCATGAAGTATGACATTTCATTAACACATTTCATTATAATCATTTATTTCTAGCTGTACATACAGGAAGAGGAAAGATCTGTTACATGCACATGTATTAAATGGGTTGCCGTATTTTAGAATTATAAACATTTTTCATTATTGGAAAGTGTAATGGGGACCTTCTGCATACCCGTTTAGAACCAAAACCACCATGACACAGTTTTTATAGTGTCTGTAAATTTGTGATGCAATGGTCTTGTAAAGGTTTTTACTGAAAACTACCATTAGCCAGTCTTTCTTACTCACAATAAATTATTAACAAAAGGAAATAAGTCTTTTTAATAACAATTCTATGAATCAATCCTAATATCAACTAGAAGTTTCCAAAAATAAATGTCACATCTGTATATATTTGTGGTATAAATAAGAATGTGAATTTCCACATTTATTATTCAAGATAATAATGCTAAAATGCAAATATACATGTATTAATCCATGTGGGCTGCAACAACAGAATTCCTCAGAGTAGGTGGTGTACAAACAACAGATTTTTATTTCTCACAGTTCTGGAGGCTAGGAAATCCAAGATCAGGTCACTGGCAGATTTGGTGTCTGGTGAGTGCCACTTCCTGGTTCACAAATTGCTGTCTTATCACTGCAACCTTATAAGGCAGAAAGGCCAAGGGAGTTCGCTTGGTTCTCTGTTATAATGGCGCTGATATTATTTTATGAGGGCTCTGCTCTCATGTTGTAATCACATACCAAAGGCCTCACTAATACCATCATATTGGATTCTAACATGAATTTGAGGGGGACACATTCAGTCTACAGCATTCTGCCCCTGGTCTCACAAAACTCATGTCCTTCTCACATGCACTTCCAACAGCCCCTAAAGTCTTAACTTATCCTTATATCATTTTGAAATCTAAAATCCAAAGTGTCACCTGAATATCATCTGAATCAGACATAATTGAGACTCAAGAAATGATTCATCCTGAAGCAAACTCTTCTCTTAAGCAAACTCCTCTCTAGCCACGAACCTGTGAAACCAAACAAGCCATGGGCTTCCAAAATACAGTAAGTCAGGCACAGGATAGATATTTCCATTCCAAAAGGGAGAAATGGGAAAGAAGAAAGGGGATCTTAAGAGAGTCTAAACCACAAGGCAAATTCTATGAGACATTAAGGCTTGAGAATAATCCTCACTGATTCAATGCTGTGCCCTCCAGATCCACTAAGTTGATGGTTCTGCCTCTGCAGCTTTGCCAGGCAGGGACTGGGCCCCCAAGCTCTGGGTGGCCTGGCACCCATATCTGGGTGGAAGCCACCTGGCCTATTGAAAGCAAGGTGATGCCTCTTTCCTCCATTTTGTTTTTGTTTGTTTGTTTGTTTTGGTACCCGGGATCGAACTTGGGTCCTTGCGTTTGCAAGGCAAGCGATGGAACCACTGAGCTAAATCCCTAGCCCCACTTTCCTCCATTTTGAAACTGAGGAGGTAGCCTTGATTATCTCTGAATTGCTTTGGGGACCATTCTTCCCTTGTCTTGAAGAACAGTACATATTTACAATGGTTCTACCCACCAAATTCCAGAAAAGTGGTAGCTCAGGGCCAGGGATGTAGCTCAGTGGGTCCTTCATTCCTTTCTGTCTCCTTTCTCTTAAATTCAAACTGGCAGCCCTCCTGCTAGGTGGTTAATTACATTTGTGGCTTACAAGCATACTAACCTGTTTATCAAATGGTCTCCTGACCACATCCTTAGTGTTCACAATTTTTGTGAAATGGGTAGAATGAGAATTTTTAAGTTCTGTATTTCTTTTGCTTAACAATTCTGTCTTCAAGTAATTTCTCTCTTCTTTCATTTTACTAATAGGAGGAGCCAAGCTGCAACTTCAACACTGTGATTAGAAATCTCTTCAACCAAATTTCCAATTTTTCTTTTTTGCAGTACTGAGGATTGCTCTGCACCAAGCAATGTCTCTAAACATTTTTTATTTTATTTTGAGACAGGGTCTCACTAAATTGCTAAATTGCCCAGTCTGGGCTTGAAGTTGTGATCTTTCTGCCTTAGCTTCGTGCTGGGATTACAGGCATGTGCCACCATGTCTAGTTTAAATTTCCAATACCTATCTATCTTTCTTTCTTTTTTGAGACAGGGTCTTGCTATATAGTTCAGGCCGCCTTTGAACTTATTATATAACCCAGGTTGGACTCAAACTTGCGGTGATCTTCCTGTCTCAGCCTCCCAAACGTTGGGATTACAGGCATGTGCCACCATGACCAGTTTAAATTTCCAATTTTAACCTCTGTAAATTCTACCTTCTAAGTAACACTACAGTATGACCACAATTCAGCCAACTTCTTTGCCACTTCATAACACAGATTTTTTTCCCCATTGTCCAAAAATGTGTGTCACACTTCTAAAACCTCATCAATTAGGTCTTTATTGCCCATAGTTTTACTAACACACTGTCTTGGATTACTTAGGTATTCTTTAAGAGGAGCTTTTTCTATAGCTCTTTTT